ACTATATGGATATATTTGTAATGTATAAGTCTAATATATTATATTTTATGTCATGGTGGGAGATAGTGGCCAGTAAGTTCCTTATCTGACTTATCATTCCTCTTTGACTAAATTAATATTTCTTTTAATTTTTTTTTGTTAAATAACTGGTTTAATCCGAGTATATTAAAAACGCAAATACAACATCTTTTATTCATTCAAATAGACCGAAAACAATAATCTATATCTGATTATTCTAAGCCATGAGTGGAGGTAATGTTGTGGAAGGGGGATCACCTGACCCCACTAGATTTTAAATTATTTGTTTTTGTTTAAAAAATATTATATTGACTCTACTGAAAAGAAATTTTGAACCCACAAAAATAATTAAAAAACATTTAAATTAAATATAAATTTAATTATATAATAATATGTTTATGTTATTTGTTAAACATTTTCATTTGAACTTAAAATTTAGAAAAAATGTTTTTAATTTCAATTCTAGTTACATATTTGTGTTAAGTCCAAATTATATTAGGTCCAAATATTATAGTACTTCATAATATTTACAAAACTTGTGTTTCTATAAACGTGCATATTTAACTAATTCTCTCTAAATTTTAAAGTGAGACTTGTTTGTTTTTTGTAAAACAAAAAATCACTATTTTTTTTGTTATATTCTGCTCTTGCTTATATTAATTTAACAAAAAATACATTTAAGATTTATTTTGATGATCTAAATATTTTCAACAGTTAGTTTTATATTTAGAAACAAACTAATCTTTTAATCTATCAGAGAAAATCTCACATATCAGTTTATCTGAATAGAAAATCTTCTTCAATGGACGATAATTTCTGAAATAGAAAAGAAAATCGTCAAACATTACAAAACATTATTACGAAATCATATCGGTGATCAGTTCAAAATGATTATCGTATTTGTTTTATAAAAAAATATTTCAAAATATAGTAAATGAAACTGTGATAACAAAATAATTTTAAGTTATAAGTGATCGTAGAGTATATCTATATTTTCGACAGATAATAAATTATGTTTAGAAAGAAAAAAATTCCAACTCCAGTATAAAAAAATTCTGGTTCCGCCACTGTCCTAAGCGTACAATTAAAATATGAATAGCTCTTGATAATTTAGTAGCTTCAACCACAACAACATGTGTGGTTGAATTGATAAATCCTTGCAAAATAGTATGTGAAAAAGTTACAGTTATTATATCTTTGTGTTTACAAATAAATTATGTTTGTAACTAGGCTAAAGTATAACAAGTAGATTTGTAAAATTATTTTTCTTTAGTAATCTGGAGATATCCTCTGGGTTAAGGTTCGATCAATTTTCTAAAGATTGTTTACCAGCATTTAAAGAGACCCGATTGTTCATAATGAAAAAGAAATACTCATATTATTATCTAATCACATGGGCGAAACCAGTAAAGCAGTTGTGTGTGCACATACACCCATAATTCTATGAATATCAACAAGTTTTGTATGTAAAAATCGTAGATTCCAGCTAGCTAAATTAGTTTAAACCTTTGCGTGAATTCGTAGACATCTAAAGTTGTTGTTTTTGACACCCACTATGTCATTTATGAATTATGCACCTACTAAGAAAAGAAACTAGTTTCGCCCTGTGTTAAGCAGATAAATTTGAATTTGGTACATTTCACCTTTTCAAAGTTGTTTTAGCATTCTACCACGTTTGTGTAATTTGTAAAGTGTAATTTTAGTCTTTCTCTCTTATAAGTTTACTTTAACAACTGGTAAGATAATTCTTTTAGTGTTTCAAAAAAAAAAAAAAAAATTCTTTTTGTACATAATAGAATGATTCCAGACGGTTAGTCTGGAACGAATTCTATATATCTTACACAAACATTCGATGGTCAGTGAATTTTGAATTGGAAACAACGATGAAGTTATTTAGCATACTAGCTGAAACTCATGCACAATTTATTATTAATCATAAAATTGCATAAAGTCTTAAGAGCCGACCTTAAAACGAAGGTAAACACATCCTTCTAATTCAATCTTAGAACATCTCCACCAATAAATTTTGGGAAGGGTTTACACGTAAAACGAAAAAATAATATTAAAATAATACAAAAGTGATGAATCTGGCTCGTTGAGACTCAACCTGGTGAACCGTTTTATCACTGTTTTTGTGAGCTCCACGCCACGTGACGGCCCACGATTGGTTCAATTACTTTTCTTTTTTAATAAAAGTAACGAAAAAAATATTAAATTTGAACTCCAAGGGGGGTTCATTACTGCAGGTGCTCTTAGATTTATGTTTGTTACTTTTGTTACTTATTTTTTTTATTATATTGTAATTACGTAAATAGATCTATGGGTTATGTTAACTAATCTGATTTTCAAACCCAATGTATTTTTTTTGTCTCAGTCATTAGTATTGTACATTATATTAAACTAATAAAATATAGATTTTGGTTTACTTATAAAACTAGATAAATTATACTAACTAAACCGAGAGCAGTGTCTGCTCAACACCAAGGGTAACGAGTATGACAACCTAGAGTCTATTAAGAATTTAATGAATTTTAATATTATTAGAAGCTCAAATTTTTCTACTAATATGTACCATATAATATTTATTAAATTGTAAATTATATTTTAAAATAATTATATAAATCATTATTATTTAAAATAAAAATTTAAATAAATAATACTCAATGTATTTTTTGTCTCATTCACGAGTATTTAGTACATTATATTAAACTAATAAAATATAGATTTTGCTTTTCTTATAAAACTAGAGAAATTTTACTAACTAAATACCAAGGGCGAGGAGTGCGACGACCAACACTCCATTAAGAATTTAATGAATTTTAATAGTATTAGGAACCCAAAACTTTCTACTAATATGTACGGTATAATATTAGTTAAATTGTAAGTTATATCTTAAAATAATTATATATAAATTATTATTGTCTAAAATTAAAATTTTAAATAAATAATTTTCAGTTGGTTTGTTTTCAAATATTAAATATTAATTTTTAATAATATTATCTGATAAAAAATTATTAATTATAAGATTTATAAAACAATAAGCCAGTCATAACCGAGAGACACTATATCTGTATAAAGAGTATGTGAATGTGATAGCTGAAAATAAACATTTTATACTAGTAAGACACAAAAGAAGCTTTCAGAAAGAAAAAAAAAACAAAAGAAGTATTTTGTATATAGCTTTGTGTATTGTATAACAATCCTCCATGAGAATCATCAGTTTCGATATTATGAAATAATATCAGCCATTACAAAATCATTCTACACTAGTTTATTTTAGGTGTGGATACAAGGCCAGTACATATTAATTTTGGTATATTTTATACTTAATTTTCCTTGTACTGGAAATAGAAATTAAGACTTGTAATTGGTTTGTTAAAAATAAACACTTATAGTTTCCAATATTTGGTAAATGGCAGATTTGTAGATTACTTGTCCCAACTTATTACCTGTAATTATTTGTAAATTACTTATTAGTTCTTTGTAATTTCAATGTAAATAAATATATAATTTATAAAAAAATCTCTTACTTTTCACATTTCCAGTCAATGCTAAAGATGAAATATATATATATATATATATATATATATATATAAATGAAAAAAATAGCAAAATACTTTTAACATATACTACCATTTATGGTATAACTGAGTTATTTTACAATATTTTTTTATGATTTTTAAATGGTTTTCTTCAATGAGGAAACCAAATAACAACATCAGTATCAAATAATTATTTTTATTTAAATATGTGATATTTTGTAGTTATATGTAATGTAAATAGATTATTTGATACTTGAAATAATAAAACAAGTATTTAATTTTACAGTAAAGCTATAATGAATATGAAATAGGTTAAAAATAATTATATCCACTCCTAGTTTATTCGATATTGTTGATTGCAAATAAAATTTAGATTTTTTTTTTTATATTTTCAAATTCATCTTCGTAGAGTCATCATCCTTTCCACCAACTTCAAGTAATCAAATGTAAAAATCTATTTACATTTGCAGAAATATAATCACAAAACCAGTAGGTGACTTAAAAGTTTTGATTAGCCTATTTTCAATGTGTGTTTTTAAAAAAAAAAATTGAGTAAACTATTATCAATATATTTTCAATTTATTCTAACTAGGTTTATGATAGAGTTTCTTATGTATTTTAAAATATATATTCTATATTTAGAATAAACTAAAATATTATATTTTCTTAATATTTAAAATAACAATTTGTATTGTAAAATAAATACAGGTAATAAAAATATATAAACAAATATATAAATGAATTGAAGGTGCCCCTTAGTACCTTTTTTATAATTGGGTTCGCACGCATAACGTATTATCTATTAGGAAGCCATTTTTGTTAAAATGCAAAATGGAAATTTACTCCTTTATTAAAAATATAAATATAACAAAATGGTTGATAAATTGTTAACTCCGCCTTACATGCTTTAACACGTGGAACGAGGCGTGTTTCATATCGTTAACTAATCACGAAAGCACTAATGATGCGACTGTATTGCATTTATGGTGTAAGGAAAGTGGACAATAACAAAAATTAACGCTGGATCACTCTCTTTTTATACTACCAATCAAGTTGAAAAGAGAAAATTAAAGACGAATATTCCCTTTTCTTTAAACTAATTTTAAGCTTTAATATTAATCGTATCATAATAATATAAAAACTGCTATATATTATCAGTTAAATCATTAATATATAATTGGGTTCATTTTCTTTAAACTAATTTTAAGCTATAATACTCTTTAGCCAACCAAAAAATAAACTAAATTTTTAGTCGGCAATATAAGTCAGAGAACTAATCAATTAAAGAAAGGAAATAAAAAAAAGGAAAAAGAGAACGAGCGTGGAGAAACAGAATGATGAAAACGGACTCATTAACCAAACGGTCATAAAGAATGGTCATTTCTCTATAAATAACGACTCTTCTCTTCATCATTACCAAACTCATTCCTCAGTACATATCTTTTCACAACATTTCCTCTTTTGTCATAATAATAATCAAATTAGTTACATAACTGAAACAGAAACACAAAATGTCTTCGATGGGAGCAAACTACGCACAACTGCATGTCATGCAGAAGAAGCAAAAGGAGAAGATGATGATGAAGAAGAGACTGGAAAAGGAGAGAGAGGGAGGCGTAGACGGTGGAGAAGGCGTGGGAGTTTCTTCTGCCGCCGCTGGAAAGAGTGATACCAGAATATATCCAGTCAAGTCTTCTCCGTCGGCAACTTATGAAGAAGTAGAAGGCAAGATTGAAAGTGTGAGAAGGTCTTGAGTTCTATAAGTTTGACTTCGTGGTTTTGTGTGTTCTATAAGTTAGACTTTGGGGCTTTATGTGTGATGTGATATAAGTGCCATCCTTTGCTTCTAGGTTTTAAGTTACGTACTTTGTGTTACTTTGCTGAATGTTATTTATTAGGAAAGGAATCCTATTAACATATGGATTACCTTTATCTTGACTTTATGCTATATATTATAGTTAGATAAGTCCTAATAGAGTCCTAATCCCTTAAGGGTTATCTCATAAGTATCGTGTATACAAACAGAGCTATTGCTCAATGATAATACAAGTTACAGTTTTATATTAAAGTCTCATCTTTTCATGGTATCAGTCTATCAGGGCATATGATTCCTTCCTTAATATTATTGTCGCCAATTGTATTAAAACATTTTATTTTTCATCCTTATAATATATTAAAGTCTCCTCTTTACATGTTGAACCTATCGTCCTTAACAAAAAAATGAAAGGGAATTTGGTGTGAAATGATTGGATTGGATTGGATAGAAGTACACTAGAGGCTATATATGGGGAAGGTTGAGTGGTTTGATTGGTTACTTTCCTCTCCTTATGGTTTAAAGTTATTATGAAAGAAAACAATGGTAGCCAGTTACAAAAAAAAAAAAAACAATGGTAAATGATTTCGTGTTTATTTTTTTTATTTTTTATTATTTAAAGAGTGAGATGGAATTTTCTCTCTCTAGTGTTTAGAAGTCCTGGATCCGAAAGTTGTACTTCCCCTTACCCATAAAATCGTACTAGAAGGGAAAATGGCCCATGCATCCCCAAGACTCGACCAAAACGCGCCCAAGACAACTCCGTTGAGGGCGACAACCTTGACTAAGCCATCCCCTCGGCCATAATAAGTCAAAAGGAAGGTCTCACATAAAAAGTAAAAACCACAAGATTCATGTCCACTACTTCCCAACAGGCCCAACTCCAAGTTCTGTCTATCACTATCGAAGATGGACGATTTTAAAAGAAGAAACAAGATCAATAGCTCAAGGAAATCAATAACTTGGAATAAAGTCAACTTTTTAAGCCAACCAATCAAAGGTAAGAAATATAACTTGATTTTCCATTCAATATGATTATCTTGAACTAATAAACTTGATTTATGCCTTCGACAATTTGTTCCAAAATGGCTTAAAATTAGCTAATGTAATAAACTGTAATGTAGCTTTTCATTTATCCTTTTGATTCTCGTTTTTGCATTTGACCTTAGCAGGTTATGAGCTGATAGGATTATTGTATAAATTCCCCTTGCAGCACTATAAATAAAATATTAAACTTTCTTCACCTGAGTTCCGTATAGAACTTGTTCTTTCTAAGACTTTGTCGAGGACTCGAGATCCGAAACTCCATTGCTTGAGAAACTGTACTGTATCACATGTCTTCCACAAATTGGGTGGTGCGAATCAATCCATCCATTATCTTAACTCATTTCCGTAACCAGCCGGCTCATTTGCCTAAGCTATTAACTAAATCAGCTTTTCGAACCACTCATTGGCCGCATCGACCAATTTCTCGAGTAATTTTAGTCTTGAGCTAGTACCATTCTATAAGCACAAAGATTTAGAGAGTGGTGGGCAAATACTTACATAAAGTGGAGATCGCGAACACTAGGAGGGAGGATACTTCCTTTTTGTCTGAGTTTGAGGAGCCCAAAGAGTGTTTGGATGAAGCGTAAAGATAATCTTGTTATTGCTTGGCTAACTAAACAAAGATATCGGGCCTGCCTATGAGATCTTCAAGACAGGTAGGGCACTAAATCAATTATTAGGAGCATAATCTATTGGGATTATAATCTTCATAATTGTTAGTTGCGAAAAAATGTGGCATGAAGAATAATTGGCGATAACGAAAGAGCACATGTGGACCATATGGTTAGCATAATTACTTTTTAAGATTTCTATTTAAATGTGAGTAACCATTGCAGCTTTTTGACACGTTAGTAGAGATAAGCCGGAGATTAAGCTAGTGTTGGAAGCAATATGGTTATGCATAATTTACATATCATATGCTTTCATGAGCATAGTTGTCGATAGAAACAAAACATGCGTCGTTGGAGAAAGCTTCTAATCTTTTACCCCCCATTATCTAAGGCATGAAGCCATGTGCTTTTTGCTCTCCCACGTTATATATTTACCATCTTCTTAATTTGTTCCTTCCGACTTCTCTCACTTTCGGACAAAAATGGCTGTCTTTTTTGGACAAAAGATAGAAACATCATGTCAATGAAATAGTTCGAGATGATTGTGATTGTTGTTGACAATTGTTTTAGTAACTATCCTAATGGATTTGTTGGCACATACCTTTACCATCACCATCGTGGTGGACTAATTAATCGAATTTGGTAACTAATCAACATATAGGTCCGATAACAACTTGCAAATCTTTTTTTTTCTCTAAATTTTTATCGACTTAAAAGAAATATTTAATTCTCTGATTGTACGTAGTTTTAGCTTCATAGATGTGAAAAGGATTTTTCCAAATAAACTATGGGTTTGATTTATTGAAGCTTACCTTTATGTACTTGTTTGCTTTAAAATCTATATTTTAGTTTTTTTTATTAAAAAAAAAAATCCAAAGCACTAAATAACAACTGTAAAAATTAATTTTATAGCCAATATATATATATATATATATATATATATATATATATATATATATATATATATTTTAAAGAATTTTTTTTTCTGTAGATTCGCTTTAAAATTGAAGCATAATTGTTTTTCTTTAAAAAGATTAGAGGAATAAAAGTTGATGATGTCCACAACTTCTTTGGCATCTTTTCCAATCAGCTTATATGTTCACAATTGTAATTTTGTGTATCTTGCTTGTATATATGGTATAAATTGAAGTGTTAAGTAGCTGCCAAAAGAACAACTTCACAAAGCTAATCTAGATTTTGATCCGTGCACGCACATGTGCTTACTTTAAATTTTACATAAATATATATATATATATATTTGTATAAATAAACAGTGTTTTGACCCAAAAAAACAAAAAAAAAACAGTGTTATATTATAATTTTGTATTAGATATTATTTTATTTTTTATAAGTATAATATAATATTATATATATTACTTTTTAAAAATTTCTTGTTATTTATTTTTCATGTCACTATTATATATTGCATATGTATATCATATAATTAATCATATTTTATACGTACTATTATATAAGTAATCATATAATTAATAGTATTTTATACTTATCATTATATAAATAATCATATATATTATATTTTTAAAATTTAATGTAAATATAAAAACCATAATTTAACTTGGTATTTGATGTACTGTATTTTTCTTATATATATTTAAAACATTTTTATAATGGTTATTAGAAAATATTTTAGTAAAAATCAAATTTTAATCATTTTTATATATAAATAAATTTTAAATTAATATTTTCATTTCAAATGTGTATATAAAATTTAATTTTTGTTTTATGATTATTTTAGACAAAATATATTTTTAGATAATTAAATTGGCTTTTAGATCTATTATTTTTTTAAAAAATATTACTATTCATGTTTTAAAACAACATTATATTTCTTATTTTGGTATTATACTTGTTTTCAGATAATCCAAAAGATATTTCTACTTTAATAAGATAGATTTTTTTTACAAATTAAATTAACATAAATACTATCGTATGAATTTTAAACCGATAAGTTTATTTATTTGTGACGAAGTAAATTTAACAGCTCTATTTGCAGTATAACGAATCCTCTTATGAAAATTTACACTTGATGATGTTATAACTTGTTGAAAATTTTCAATAATTTTTTCTTTACTAATCTGCATGATATATATCATAAGGTCCAAAATATAGATGATTTAGTGTAAAAGAATTAATGAAATCCTGATCAAACCATTTGAAAATTTTTAATTTGTAAAGAAATTTGGGGGTGTAAAAAAAAATTACACTCTCCTTAGTTTAACAAACTTTGTAGCTAGGCCGAGCTGAGCTCTGAGCCGTTTAGTTATTCCAAGAGTGTGTCGGTGGACAAAAGCCAAGCCGGCTCTAGTATGAGAAACACTCTGTCACTCTCACCAGCCCACACACAGCTCTCTCTCCTCCTCTTTTTTTAATTAATTATTTTTTTTGGTAGTCAAATAATTACAGAAGAAAAAGAAGCCAAATCCCCTCGTCTTCTTCGCTTCTCTTCTACGATACTGAGAGATGCAGAACTGATTGTGCTTTCTCCTTCCTTCTTCTCCCATTTCCCTCTGAGGTTAGTTCATTTTCTTCTTCTTCTTCTATGGATCTATCTGCATGCTATTAGTACATCGGATCTGTTATGTGTAGACTAGATTGTTTCACAGGTGAGATCCGAGATTCATCTCCGATTATAAACTAAATTGCATCACGATCTGAGTCCTACATTCGTAAAACTTTCCTTATTTAGCTTAGTTCGAATCCGGAAGCTTAGGGGTTTCACCATCAAGATTTGGATCGAGATTTACACTTTGATTTCAAGTTAGATAAGAGTGATCTGTTAGTTGTTCAAAAAAAAAATAGAGTGATCTGTTGATACTATAGTCATAGGTTGCAATTGCATTTAGCTTTTCATCTGATCTATGCTTGCATGATTTCTGCAGGGGCGTTGATGTTCTGAGGATCTTGACTGGGTAGATCTGGAGTAGGGGGGCAAGGTACTACGTCTTGATTTAAGAATTTTTTAAAAATGACAAGTGCACTTGGATGGAGATTTGCTTCTTCTAACGGAAATGGCCTTGCCCCAAACGACATGGTAATTTATCCAAAAGCTTCCTTATATTCCTTTTGTCATCGTTTTTTTTGGTCATTTGTCTGAGTATCTCTTTGCCCTTCTTTACTACCGAGTGGACAATAATACATATACAATTGGCATTGTTTCAGTTTGTTATATCTGATAGAGCGTCTTTATAGTCTTTCACTGAACGCTTTCAATTAAACGTTTTACAAGATACATTTTTCTTAAACTTTATTTACGTTGCTTGGTCATGATTACAGGAGAGAACTGGGGATGTCAAGATTCCAGATTCAGAGCCTCCAACTCCACATTCAAGCGCAAAGATGAATTTGAGGTAAACTCAAATATGTGTTGTCACTGTATAGGAGCCAGTCAGTGTGTAATGTTAGCCATCATGACCGCAGTCTTAGTTTTAAGAGTGCATTTGAAAATCACTGTTATCTTTTTAAATGAAAAGCATTTAAGTTGAAAGGCTCGACTATATGTGACCAGTATCTAACATTTCCCCGTCACCTGCAGAGATCGTACGACCAGCATGGAAGATCCAGATGGGACATTAGCAAGTGTTG